ACTGAAACGTTATTTATAACGCTACATGCTGCGTTAATAATATCAAAGATTATTTCCAGAAAAAAATATCACGTATTAGTTTCAAAGCAGATCATAAATTACTAAAAATGGAATTTTTATATTTTCTTTAACATTTGTTGATTCTTCAATTTAATATTAATGTCGTGAGATAGCCTGAAGCCGACTCTGTTCTTTGTGTACTACCATACCCGCGACATGAAATGTAGCGCTAGTCATATCGAGACCCGCCTCGAGACTCGAGAAACCGACTCGAATGTTTTATAACGCGTGGAGTATAATTTCCAGAACTTCTAGACTGAGCTTCTAGTCAGACTTAGTTCTCTCTGGACTGTTTTATTTTTGTATAAATTGCGCGACCTTGTCGGTAGACGTTAAGTTTCAATAAAAGTATTGTAATTTATTTAAAACTTTTAAAAGTAGGCTATTTTTGAAGTTTTGAACTACATGTATACAATTAAACAACAGTTGAAACTGACTAGTCGAACCAAAAGTTATTTTTAGTTGCCTTCAACAAGTTTTCCTTTCCTGAAAATATGAAATCCATACAAAATAGTTGAAAGTTTTCAAACTTTAAATAAAAAAGCTTCCTTTTGAAATTAGCCCTTATACAGTTAAATAATTCTTTTTATATTTACTGAATTAGTTTTTAATGGGTCAATAAACTACTACTAATACTGCTTACTATGGAGTGTAGATGTAAGCAGAAACTATCTCTGTTTACAAAAATTGTGCCTCAAAATATATGAAATTAAGAGGCGTTACTGTACCAGAAGGACGCCCAAAGGTTGTGACAGTCGATAATTCAGTTCACACAATTACACCAATGATGTCTATAATTTTATATAGATTGCCCACCCTTATTTAAATAGTACACTTCAAGGTACAGTTTTTGATTGTTTTTCAATATCTTGTTGTAATTATTTTAGTTGTTAATGTAGTGCTTGTGTGTCTTATAAATTTTATACCGAATGTTGCTCGGATGACAATGACACGACTTTACACGGTTGGAATAGAACCTGCTGTGCTGTAGGATCTGGTGAGACGAGACGACGCTTTAGAACTTTATCTCACCGATATATAACTTTTATAAGCCATATAAAGTTACAATAAAGAGAAGAGCCGGAAGTGGCAGGTACGATGCATGTCTACACAGACGGTTCTAATACAAAACAAGGATGGATATGGAATATACTACAGATCCTTAAATCTAAACATAAAATAAACTGTGAGCAATAGTGCAACTGTAGTTCAAACCTAGCTCACGGAGATTATCACAGCAGCAAAAGAAGTTATCAGAAATAATATCACTGGAAGGAACATGCCTATCAAACAGTTAGCATACAAGCACTACTCATCCTGGATAGACCACGAATTTATTTATTGGTACTAGAATGTCACGAAGCTTTGGCCGAAGTATCGATTAACAATATGGCCACCTTAAGAGGGATCAAAGGTCACGCCGCATCGAAAGGTAACTGTCTTGCTGATTCACTAGCCAAGAAGGCAGCCAACCAATTACTTTTTGGACCTGGCCCTTCTATTGGACTGACAATATCGGTAGTGAAAAACCTAATTAAAGAATTTTTTTTGTGAAATTCAAGGAAAGATGGGATGAAATAAGAAGCTGCAGTGTTGCCGGGACAACACTTACGTACCACAGGACCGGATCATATTCCTGCGTTCATTTTAAAAGATTGTTCAGCAGTATTAGCTCGTCCTCTAAGTATTTTGATAAATATCTGCCTTAAATCCAATACAATTCCTTCGATGTGGAAATGTTCTAAAGTCTGCCCACTTTTTAAAAAAGGCGAACGTACTGATATCAAAAATTATAGGCCGATTTCTATCATTTGCAATTTTTACAAAATTTTAGAAATATTACTAGAACGTAGTATTTATCAACACGTTTGTAACGCAGTCTCAGCTCAGCAACATGGTTTTGTTAAAGGACGTTCCACAGTAACAAATCTTTCTGTGATCACACAGCAAATAGCTGAAAATATTGACAATCGGGTCCAAACTGACGTCATCTATACGGATATGACAAAAGCATTTGATAGACTTGATCATAATATTATGATACAGAAACTCTGCGTATTTGGTCTTTCTAATAGTTTGATCACACTTTTTCAATCGTATCTCTCTCAAAGAACACAATATGTTTAATTAAATGGATTCAAATCTAACAAATATTGCGCCACCTCTGGTATACAGCAAGGTTCAAATTTGGGTCTGCTGTTATTTAATATTTTTATCAACGACATTGGTGACGCTATAAATGTTGATTATTTGCTGTATGCTGATGACTTAAAAATATATTCAGAAATTGAAAATATTTCTGACTGTGAACGGTTGTCGGAAAATTTGAATGGTGCAACAAAAATGGCCTTACGCTGAATCCTGTCAAATGTTATGTAATGTCATACACATTAAAAGCGCATCCAATTATATTCGATTATGTCCTTAATGGACGTTTGCTTTCTAGACCCAACAATTTTATGGATTTAGGGGTTACATTTGACCCAGTATTGTCGTTTAAATTTCACATAGATAACATTTCAACAGCAGCAAATCGTATGTATGGATTCATAGTACGAGTGGGCCGTGATTTTAAAAACACAGATACTATTAAATCATTGTATTTCTCATTTGTTCGATCTAAACTCGAATATGCCTCGTTTATTTGGGATCCTTATTATCAAATACACATTTGTCGGATAGAGTCCACACAAAGGTGTTTCCTTAAATACTTAAGTTTTCGGGCAGACCTTTATCCACCGATTGGTATTACTCAAAATGCTTTACTGACTAGACACAGATTGACAAGTCTCGACGTAAGACGGAAGTACTTCTCCATAATTACCCTCTACAAAGTTGTTTATTTTAAAATAAATTGTGAAGCTCTTTTACATATGCTTAATTTTAGAATCCCCCGCACAACCTCTCGAAACACCGAATCATTTTACATAGCAACTCCTCGGACAAACGTACTGAAGTTTTCACCTGTATATAACATGTGTAATAATTATAATAATATTAGTGAACAGTTGGATATATTTAACTGCAGTGTTAAAAACATAAAAACACATTGTTTAAAATAATTTAGAATTTATTTAATTTTCTAGTTTAATTATCTATATGCTTTTTGTTAAACATGTTTTCTTCCAAATGTACTCTTGTTCTGTAATTGGGTTTAACCTGTTGAACAATGTATAAATAAGTAAATAAATAAATATATCATTAGATCACGTCTTTTTAGTACACGAGTGCCATTCTGGCCACTTTCAGAAACCTTATTTACAGCTTTTTGGTGGATACTTTTTTGAGATAAACAACCATATGAGATTGCCCTCCTCTCCTCTACAATCAATACTGCTTACCGAAATATGTCTGCCGGTCCAATCAAAATCTCAACCAGAAAATATAAAAATCGTTGATTAATAAAAAAAAGTAGATTACCCAAACGATTCGTAGTGAACAAAAGAAACATAGGGAATATACATACAATTTTCTGAGACGACTATGACGATAACTTTATTAGCCAGAAGTTGGCTTGCCTCGATATTAAGATGCTGACGAAGCCTTTTCTTTTTGGTGTTTCCAAACTAATATAATTTCTTACATCCGCATCTGATCGTGGAACGTGGACATTTTATTCTGCAAAATATATTGGACAAAATTAATTAGATAAGAAACGATGATATTCGAAAAATGAGGCCATATACAGGGTATAGGGTGTAATTAAAATATTATTAACTTTTTAAAATAGACAGAAATGTATATCATAAGAACTATTGCTTTGTCAACGATTGAAAAGTTTAGGAAGTGTTTTCTAGATTTGGCCGTTTTTTTAGTATTACACCGCTACACTGCTAGTCGGATGATTCTTATGGTGACACGGCCCATGATGGAACCTCCCAGTGGTCACTCATCTACGACGTGACCGGAGAGATCACTGCTCAACTGTTGCGAGCATGTGAATGCACACTAAGCTCACGGCTAGCCTCTCCGGCTAGATTTGGCCTTGCAAAAGTGTGTCACAAATAATGGTAGTCCATTTTATTCGGATTCATTTTCAAAATTTTTAAGCTTTAAGGGGTTAGACATCTCATCTTTCCTCCATACTACCCAACAATGAATGACTTTGATGAAAATATAGTAAAGTAAAATCTATTAATCGATAGTAAAGTAACATTTTAAAGGGTCTATAGAAGATGAATAGCAATTTCCAGCCTTTGAATAAATTAAAAAAATAATTACCTACATTTTTACTTAAAGGCATAAGATTATGTTTATTTTTAAAAACACGGATGATCAATCTATATAACTATCTATATCATTAACTTTATCAAAGCACCAGGCCCACAGGTTTGCCATAATATAATCTATTATGTGCCTGTCATTTCAAATGGGCAGCTATTTTGTTTGAAATGCCTAATACCTTGTAGAATTTTCCAAACAACCTTTGCTAACCCTGTGGTATAGTAGTCACTTTGTTTAAAGTCCAGTTTAAATCTGTGAGTTCAATAAAAATGTCCAATGTCAAAAATGACACTTTAATATAATTATATTAATAAATTAGTTGTTTAGAGGTTTACAGGTCAATGTACATTACTTATAATCTTTTATTCTTTATTATAAGTAAAAAAACTATCAAAATTCATATATAGGTCTCTTTTTTTTTAATATAATTTAAGTAACATAACAAAAGAGTATCGATTTTTACATTGGACATTCTTGAAGTCATCCACAAAAACAAGTCATTATAGTCACTATTAATCTTATAAATTCAACAGTGCTCTACTCAACTTTGTTATTAAAAACTTTCATGAAAATAAATCAATTGATTATCAATCAATGCTATTTTGTTGTTTGTCTGCCTACAGTCCACTTATTTACCTGTCAAACGGCCACATGGTTCAGAATGCCTAATTACATGTATAAATTTAAAAAAAATACAAATAGAATATTTTCTTTTATTAACCTGATCTCTGTTTTGCACTGTCTTGAGATATGCTACATTCACTCAATTTATTCACACAAACATTTGTATTGTAACTCATTTTGTTAACTTTTCCAGAATCAACTACAAATCTAATTCCTTCAATTGTCACTGAAGTTTCTGCAATATTGGTGGAAATTATGCATTTTCTAACACCTTCTGGAGGATAATCAAATTCCTGAAAATTGTTTGACACAAATTAAAGTATGTCTTCGGATTTGTTTATATTTACCTTGTCTTGTTCTTCCAAAGATAATGAACTGTGTAGAGGCAAAACAATCCAATTCTTTTTAATCTGACTATACTCAGTTACTGCATCAGCTAAGGTTGATATTTCAGAAAACCCATTAAGAAATATCAACATATCACCTTTTTGGTTGGCTTGATATTTCTCATCTATCATTTGTAAAATTTGTACATAAGGAGTACAGTCTAGTTTCTCTCGTTTTCTTTCATACGGATCTTTGATATCGATAGGATACAATCTTCCAGGAACTTTTATTACCTGTATTTGCTCATCATCAAAATAATTAGAAAACAGTTCAAGATTTATAGGTGCAGACATGAGAATCAGCTTGAAATTATCCCGTTGATGTAACAGGCATTTCATAATTCCTAAGAAAAACAACAACAAAAAAGAATACAGTACAGTTTTTATTTCACATATAAGTGAGTTAGGGTTGCCACCTTTTAAAAAGTCACAAGGACATTTTGATCCAAAAAGGGACAGGTGGTAACCCTAATATAAGTGCTTATGAAAAGATAGATATAATTGAATACAATATTTTAAATTCTAATATAAAATTCAAAATGAAAAGGATGTACCTACAATATGAAACATGCTTACCTATTAAAAAATCACCATTGAATAGGTTATGGTTAAGCTAACGGTATGTCACGCACGTAATAAAATTTAAAGCTTCGTCAATCAGGTCCTACCTTTAATTTCCTTGGCTTCCTGACGCAGACTTCCCTTCTTGGCGCGTCCACCCTAAGCTGTAGGGGTTGTGGACTGTATCAGGGCTGGTATTTGAATGTTCGGGAATGTAATTTGCGGGTTTGTATCGAATTATCACAAAGCTTGAATACACGACTGTACTCTACGAAATTTGCGGCGGTACTAATGTTTGCCCGGTTGAATTTAAGAATCATTCTTCGCCCCGCGGATGTGGTCTTTTACTAATTAGGGCAATACCGTCTTGGCGAAGTATAAGTAATGAGAATAATATATATGTGAAATATTACGTTTCATACTGGATGATAATTTTTAATTTAAACTTACATATACTAGATAAGTGAAGACTTAACAACCATGTAAATTCCTTTCATGCACTTCATCCAAAATAATTACATCATATGATTCAAGAGTCTCTTTTTCAGAAGCTTGCCTTTAAAGCAAACTTTCCGTCAAGAATATGATATTAGTATCAGCCCTTTTTGTTTTTTCAAATCTAATTTAGTACCTCACTGTATTTTTGTATTCAGTTCGTGTTTCATATGCCACTCTTTTGGCTAAACTTATTCTATTCTCCTCGGTTATGTACATGCTATTTTATTGTAACCAGCTTCTAAAATGTACTGAGGAACTTATGTAGACTTACCGCAACCTGTATCACCGGCGATTAACAAAACTCTTAATTGACTAAGTTTTTCTATAATTTCTGCTTTGTGTTGTGCAATTGGTAAATCATTTTGAAACAGCTTCAACTTGTGGAGTTTGGCAAAAACTCTTTTTTGCTGAAAATCTTCTTCGTTCTTAAAATCCTCCTTTGAAATATCAAAACGGTTTCCTCTTCTATCTAGAACGGGAAGTTTATCATATAAAAATGATAAATCTTCCATAAAAACCAGATTTAACAGTTTGTGTTTATCTACATCAGACTTTTGTAAACTTTGTAGCTATTTGTATTTTTCGTAGAATCTCCAGAAATCGCTGGTATTGTTAATACTAGACTGCTCTTCCAAAAATCTTCCTAGTTCATGTTGGACCTTGACCTAGGCCTCCTTCGCCTATGCCTGCTCCTCATTCTTTCGTGATAATCCATTTTAATAACACTACTTATTATTTAAAGCTAGTAAAAATGTTTTTTAAAATCGTTTGACGTATCAACAATAATAAAACGTTTAGGTTATCAAGAGGGAAGATATATGGTGTAGAGATTACAGTCAACATAATAAAAGGGAGTTAGATTAAAACTGTTATTGACGAAAATGAAAATCTTGTTTGGAAAAGACTCGTTAATCAAATTATTGAATCATAGGCAGTGGAGTTAGAAGTTAGAAAATAAACATCTATTAAAAACCGGAGATCCATTTAAAAAACCAACCATAACAGTAAATTTGAAAGATATATATTTTTCTCTATACTTTCATACCATTTTACAAATAAAAGTATGTTGAATTTGTAATTGCTCTTAATTCAAAAGTTCTAGCTACCCTTTTTCTTAAGCTATAATATTTTGGACAACATCTCCAAATAAATGACATAAGTGATTTTGTTCAAAATATCAAACGACTTCATAGGACGTGAATTTAACAAATAATATAACCATCGTTTTGGAGTATCTTGGGTTTTTTGTTGCATAGTCAGAGTTTGTCTTCAAATAAAACTATAGTTTACTTTTTACTTAAAGGTTTCGATGCTTGTTTTGTGCCTTCTTGTAAAATCATCTTCTGTGAAAAAATCTCGAAACTAAAGAAATTTATGATCAGTCCTTTGAAACATACAAAAGATCATCAGTGCCTTGTAACGTTATCCGTGTTTCATTTATTACTGCCATTAAGCCATAATAGATTAAAAAGTGTTAGTGCTTTAATTTCACACATTTAGATACCCAGTATACGGATATGTATCAGTACACCAGGGCAGGAAAATTTCGTAGAATTTTTTTTTTTACCTTTTTTGTCGAGCATATATGAAAATAACAAAGTTTGTGTCTGGCTTTTTCTTTTTTGGACCCCCATTAGGTCGGTGAACGATTTTGTAATTAAAAAAGCGGCAAATTAATTCCAAACTTAAATTTTATAATTGGTTTTTAACGAATTTACAAAGTTTATGTAGATTATGCCATGCAGCTACTTGGGAATGGCGTCTTTTCATCTTTATAAAATTCCGGTGTGCGTGTGTTTGTAATTTTTCTCCTCCTATATGGCTTTACCGATTTTGATTTTGTTTTGAAATGGGGTCACCTGAATGGTTCTTAGCTATAGTTGGACCCGGTAGTAGGTGCGCTAGTTTTTATTATAAAATTATGGCGTGTAGAGGTAAGGAGTTTTTCTAAAAAAGTATCAAATTAATGTGGCGTTACTATACCAGAATACCGTTTAAGTTGTGAGAGTCGATAGTAAAATTAGAGAAATACTTACGGTCGTTTTCTAAAGGCGTCACCTGCAAGGTATAATAAAAAAAATTGTAAAACACCTTTAGTAATCAATAGATATCTTATTTTATTAAATAGAGGATTCAAAAAATTTATAAGTAATCGAAAAATTTCTACAATTTATTAGACTAATTCTGACTATTTAACTCTATAATACATCAAACAATGACAATAATCTTTTATTCCACACACCAATCAAAATAAACTGTATTTGAAAACACTGATGCAGTGTTTTTATTTTTACACAAACCCGCCAAATTTCAATGTGAAGTTTGTGAAAAATAATCGACATCACTTTCGACTTTATCTTAGGGAAAAAATCTAATTTTGTTTATCAAAGTTCTGTTTATGTTTTTAAATAATCTTTTCAAACACCACCAAATAAACTCTGCAACTTACAGTAAGGGAAACTACCCAAAACAAAACTTTAAAAAAGGAAGAAAGAATTAACACATTAATAAAAAAAAATTATCGATCATGGTTACATACGTTTCGGTTGTTCTGGTATTAACCTTCAGGTGGTAGCTAGGGGGTGGATAGCTTGCAAAAACTCCAGAAATAGTAGACAAGTTCCTATAATAGCCAATTTATGCTCGTATTTCCCCACAAATTTAGTAAATGAGGAAATAATTAAAAGACCAACCTCAAACTTATGTTTCTTTATAATGAATTTACGTAATAACTGCAATGAATAACAATTTTTAAATTATCACAAAAAACTAAAGTATAAACATACCCAATGTTTGTCATTAAATAAATTCAAAATTAATGTTCAAGAATTAACTTATTAAAAAACAATATTTAATACTTAACCTAACAAAGTTATTGTTTAAGAACTTCACCAAAAAATCTATCCTACAGCTTATTTATTTATTTATTTGGGTTACACCATCCAACAGTATAAAACCAATTACAGGATGGGCACAAAAATAATTACAATTACAGTATAATTTACATCATAAAAATAATAACAAAATATTACATATTAATATTAATAATAGCATAAATATATATAAATAAAAAATAGTTTAATAAACGTTTTAACCATCATAAGAAAACGCAAAAAAAATCCATTAGGAGAAAATATTACTTGTCTTATGATAATTAACTTAATCCACAACTAAGCGTTTTATTTCTTTAATTGAAATAGAAAATAAATTAACATCATTTTGAAGTTCACAAAAATTTTGTTACATAAAATACATTGGAAAAAATTTTAAAATATTTGTCCTGGGAGTCTGAAAATAGAAATACAAAGGGGGGCGAGTTCTGATACTAGGAACATTAAACATTAGTTGATTAGTTAAAAGTAGTTCGGGACAGTCAATTTTATAATTTAATAATTTGTAAAGAATGCAGATGTAATAACATTTCCTGCGAGTACGTAATTCAAGGATATCAAATCTATTCAGCAAGATGGTTTGCGGAATATTGCGAGTGGGGTAGACGCCATCTAGCTTGCACAACAAATATTTGACAAATTTTCGCTGAATTTTTTCTAATGCCTGACTATGTACTTCATATCCAGGACTCCAAACAATGGACGCATATTCTAGTTTACTACGTACAAAAGCGTTAAAAATAGTTTTTAAAGTATTAGGCTCAGAGAACTGGCGTCCATTTCGAATGACAAAACCCAAATTTCTGTATGCTTCTTTCTGAATAGTATTGACATGTTCAATACAGTTTAACTTAGCGTCGAAAAGAACATCAAGATCTCTAATAGAAATACATTTATTGATGTAAATATTGTTGACAGTGAAATTATACTCAATCGGATTTAGTTTACGAGTGAAGCTGATATAATTGCCTTAGATATGTTTATTGGTAAGTTGTTAGAATTACACCAAAGGTTCAATTTATTTAGGTTCTCCTGCATAATAAAACAATCATTAATACTGGAGATTGATTTAAACAATTTTAAATCATCGGCATAGAATAGAGTAATACATGATAGGTTTTCAGTAATGTCATTTACAAAATTGGAAAATAAAAGTGGTCCTAGAGCTGAACCTTGAGGGACACCGGAAGAAGCTTTTATACAAATTGACTGAAAATCATGGTATTCAACTTTTAATTTACGATTACTTAAATATGATTCAAAGAAATGCAAAAAGACGTAGTGAGTCCAACAATGGAAAGCTTGTTCAAAAGTACACTATGATCGAGGCGATCAAAGGCCTTGGAAAAGTCAGTATATATAGCTTCAACCTGGCCACCCCTATCAAGGTTCTCCGCAACATATTGTGTAAAGCATATCAGATTGGTCTCTGTGGATCTGCCTGGAAAAAAAGCCGTGATATAGGGGGTTATGATGGACAAGCAATGTTATTTTTAACAGACACGTTATTTGTGAACAGGTTGTAATTTCTGTGTGTTTATATAATAACAGACATGTTAAAAATAACACAGATTGTCAATCATAACCCCCTTAATCGTAGATATAATCGAGTTTACATGAGCGAAAAGTATTTTATAAATGACATTTTCGAAAACTTTCCCAAAATTGCAAAGGATGGATATAGGTCTATAGTTTTCTATGATAGATTTGGATTATTTCTTAAAGATTGGACAGATTTTAGATATCTTCCAATAACTTGGAAAATTCCCTTCTTCCTTCTCGTAAGGAGATATTAAAGATCATGGTTAAAGGTTTGGCTAAAATATTTGCACAATCCCTTATTAAAAATGCCGGAATATCATCTGGCCCTTTAGTATTTTTATGTTTCAATCTTTTAAGACATTTAATGACATCTTCTTCTGCAAGTAGCGGATGATGAATTCATAATTGAATTAACTAAATATCTAGGAAAAGTAAGAAAATAAATCGTATATGTCATAAACATAAACCCTAAAAGAATAATAAACCCATCAATAGATGGCACGGCAATTCGTTAGCATTGGTACCAAGGCAAAGGACAGTATGCGCAAGATGTTAGGTAGATTATTATATATCCCGTAAAATATTAATTTCTACCTGTTTACAATTCCACAATATATCATAGAAAAAAAAAACATATTTATTTAATAAATTTAAATGTTGAAACACAATATACTTTTAATGTTCCAAAATTGGAAGAGGTTACTGGCTTAACTAAACAATTGAAGTTTATTTATTTATAAAGAAAAATATTAAAAAAAATTGACCGTAAAATAAAAATCTCAAAGCAAAAAATATACTAACATATAAAAGGACTTAAGATATAATAGTATACTTTCAAGCTCCAAAATGGAAAGAGGTTATTTAATTATCTGCCCCATACGGGTCTTATGAGTTTAAATAAAATGAATAAAACTCAAAGCCAATATCACATAAAACGCCAACGACCATTTCCCTTTCAGAAAACAACTACTTCTTTGGCTAATACCGCAACAGGTATTGAATTATATCCGAAGGAAAGACAGCAGAGATAGAAATTAAATTTCAAAACTCTCTACCTTTGATTTTGCTCACTAAGGAGA